GTAGGTATACAGGGCAACTGAACTGTTTATAAGGTAGTTATACAGGGCAACTACTGTTTATAAGGTAGTTATACAGGGCAACTGAACTGTTTATATGGTAGTTATACAGGACAACTGAACTGTTTATAAGGTAGTTATACAGGGCAATTGAACTGTTTATAAGGTAGTTGTAGTTATACAGGGCAATTGAACTGTTTATAAGGTAGTTGTAGTTGTACAGGGCAATTGAACTGTTTATAAGGTAGTTGTACGGGGCAACATAACGGTTTATAGGGTAGTTGTACAGGGCAACTGAACTGTTTATAAGGTAGTTATATAGGACAACTGAACTGTGTAAAGGTAGTTATACAGGACAACTGAATTGTTTATAAAGTAGTTGTACAGGACAACTGAACTGTTTAAAAGTTCCATGAAGGTTACCTATGGTCTCTTGTTATCCATATTGATTTTTTGGGACAGAAAGGTAAAACAGGATGGCCACCAGACAGCCTTTTTGAATTTGGCAGTTCAATTTTGTTATTCTTATCCCACTGTAGTTTTTGTGTCACCTGCGAAAAGCTGGTGACACATAGGTATTGCTATGTCGGCGTCGATGTCGGCGTTGTCCGCACAGAGGTTTTCGTGCATCTTGAGTTTCCTTGGTCCGAACAAACTCAAACTTCATGCAGTGCTTCCCTACCAAAAGTGCTTGCTTGTGATTGCTTTTCAGGTCCGAAGGTCAAAGGTCAAGGTCGCTGTTACTCTAAATAGAAAATCTGTTTTCGTGCGATAACTGCGCAGGCGACACATCCACTTCCTTGGAATTCTTGTTTACATAAGTGTCCTCCAGCTTTCCGGACAGCAGGCTTTAATTGCTGACCATCTCTTGCACCAAAATCAACCTAGTTATCTGTCATCCAGTTTAATTCCGCACAATTTATGTACTCTTCTTTAGTTTGCTTTAATGTTTACTGATAACAGCATGGTTTTCCACATTGTAGAGTTCCTTTATATACTGTAAGTATGCAAATCGGGGCCCACATTCTCTTGACAACATATATTCATGACTTGATTTCAGACTTGGCTAAGATTTTGCTTAGCACGTTTCATGATCCACTTATGATGGTGATCTTAGCTAAGTCAAAACTTAAAACTTAAGTTCATCAAATTTTGTCTTGGACTTAAGATGCCAGGATTGGACACGTTATTGTGCAGGGAAATATTGTTAATATTCTTGTTGATAATACATTGAAAAGTTTGCTTCAGAGTTAAAATATTTAAAAAAAGAGATGCCAGTACTTTTAGATCCCTGTTTATGGCATTCATTATTATGTAGACTCTGTGAGACTTGGTCATTCAGAACTTCAGTGTTTCGGATCACAATTAAAAAAATCTAGGTACTTTTTAGGAACACAGCTTGATTTTAACTAGCAATTTAACAACCTGGCATTTTTCAGGGCCTTTGGCCAAAGGGAAGCTGAATGCATGTCATCAAATAGATCACATGATAAAATCCTGTTGTTTCTACCAAGAAATCATTTGATGATGATGATAATGATGTTGATAATTATTACAAAAAAAAAGTAACTCAGAATCTTTTCACTTTAACAAACAGATTAGGACCCCAGATTTATCTAAAGACATGACAGTTCTGGTACCAGAATTGATGGCACCAAGTGTACCATCAATTATTCCAGGAAAACGACGCAAGAGAAAATCTTCAGCATCAGAGGTAGGTACTTGTTTACACCTTACAACAACTTTTTTATCAGTTATATTCAACTTTCACAAATATGATTATCCATCTTTTATTGTTATGTATCATATCAAGGATTAATCTAGTATTGATTCACTACCGTTTATGGGTAGTTTTCCATACAGAAGAAATTTCCCCTATTCTTTAAAATTCCTCCTATGTGCTTCAAAATTCAAAAGAAAATAGCGTTTTTTGCGATCGCCTTTTGTCCGGCGTGGTCCGTCGTCCGTCCGTAAACAATTTACATTTTCCATTTCTTCTCCAAAACCCCTGAACCAATTTCAATGAGATTTTGCAGAAACCTTCCATGGCCAAAGGTCAACAAAAATAGTGGCCTGAGAGGTGGGGCCAAAAAGGGCCAAATTGACTAAAATTTCAAAAATCTTCTTCGCAAGACCCAGATATGGTAGAATCAAATCCTATTCATAGATGGAAGGGTCTTAACCCTTAGGCTGCTACGCACGACAATAGTCGTTTTGAAAAGTCGGGCCCTCACTGCTAGGCACGACAATAGTCGTTTTTCGGTCTGTAGGTTTTGATCGGTAGCCAGGAAGTGTGAAGTCGGGTTGTTGCTATACCAAAACCCGAACGCGTATAGTAGGAGGCTTCTGATTGGTTGTTTTGTCATTACTTTCGATATCCACGGCAGTGTAACCTAGTAATAACCAAAGGTATGCGAGAGAATTTCAAATCGAAAAAAAAGTCATAAAAATGGCGGACTTGTAGATTGAAGCGATGCATATGATGGTAAACATTTATTCTCCATCGTCACCTACGATGATAATAAAGGTTTTGAAGGGTTTGACATGGTTGATGTGGAAATACTTCGGTGTTACATAATATGTAACTTTCCAGTAAACGGCTTTGTGCTCTACGCAAACAGGAAAATATCGGCGGACCGAGGCGCACATGTCGTCTGCAGGTGAGGCCGAATTGAACATTGACATTGATACGTTTTGAGCCGATTTATTTCTTCAAACTTTTTATC